AAAGAAAATAAGAAAAACCCACTGGAAGGTAAGCTATGAGTCTATTCTGATTTGACAGCCAAGACTAGTTCAGGTCTAGGCATAGCTCCAACAGATAGGGCTAGACCAAGGATGATCAAGGTGGGAAGTTTAAATTATCACCTCCAAACCTAGAGGCTTTCTAGTATCCTCTGGCCATAAACCTTCTAACCTGGCGAGTTCTTAATTTCTATCGTGACCTCATTTCACTGGACATAGAGTGAGTTATCTCCATGGCCAAGAGTTCCTCTGGTAGGGAGGGAGAAGAGGTTATGAAAGAAGACCTGGCCACACTGATCTCTGAAGGGCTTTCACAGGGCATAAGGAACAGGCTAGCTCTAGGAGACTTGACCAGTGCAGGGAGAGGGAGGGCTGTTTCTTCCACATAAGACAAACAATCTCACAATGATTGCTGCCTCAATCTCACAATGATTGCTGCCTGACAAAGAGATGTGAGGTGTGAACTCCACGCAGCTCAAGATACTGTAAGCAGAAGTGAGAATTGTTTCATAAGGAATATTCATACAGTGTTGGGAAAGGGGAAAGATTGGTTATGACACTCTTTAGAAACCTGAGATTGTTTTTAAGTTAATGCTTCTAACATCTCTGAAAAGAAATTCATTTTCCCCAGATATTTTTATGGCTAGAGATAATTTCCTCTGATAATTGCACAAAAATAGATTCAAACTATATCTAGTTTCTACCATCTGATTTTCTCCAGTTAGCACTGGTGTAATAGTCACAGATAAAATTTGTCAAGCTCAGAGGCATCATTTCTAACCTTTCCAAACTACCCCTGACTCGAGTTGATACAATGAAGGCAGATTATCTTAGAAAGAGGTACGGTATCTCTATTTTTTGTGAGTGTCTCAGTGAGAGTGAGAATGACCAAGACTTTCAATCTGTCTTTTCTTCTTCAATAGACGTACTCTGGTATGAAGAGATGAGCTAGACAGTGAGGGAAGAAGCCCAAGGGAGAAGATGAAGATTCCAGTCCTAATACTGTCCTCACTGTCTGTGGACTTCTCTGAGCTTCCGTTTCCTTATCTTGAGCATTTAGAGTCCAGATTGGGGTGTTTTTTTAATATACTGGATTTATGGATCTATAGTGAATGCAGTAGCTTCTATGCCTCCTTTGACCAATCTCTTAGCTAGGATTTTCCCTGGAAAAGAAATTACTACAACTATAACAATGGATTGACTCTACTGATCTACTCTGATACAGAATGAATCTGTTCGGAGCTGCGACTCACAAACAGCTTCAAAAGCACAGAACCTGGTCACGGTGGGCACCCTGGGACCCATGATTAAAACTTGACCTTGGCTTCTTTTTCTGTTCCCCAACCCAGATCTCTGATGCAATTACAAATTTCTGAAGAAACTACAAGACAAAGGGTATGGTAGAGAGGGGGACATAACGGGGGAAAGGGTTCCTTGGTCTATTGGCCAGAAACTCCTTATGGAGCCAATAAAAACATTATCTCATATCAACTAAACTGGTGAGAAGTGATTATGAGAAGTGATATATCAGACATTAAGTAACAAATATGAATTTTAGGCATAACTTATTCCTCCTGGGTTCTCCTTCACACTTTACCTCCTTGTAGGACACAGAAAGTTACTGTATTAATGCATCCAGAATTAGTCAGAGAAGGAAGCAAGATGATGTCAGTGGCCAGTGTTATTGAGTGTGAAACCCAAAGGCCTCGAGAACACTGCAGAGACACTGGTGAACATCAGCACACCACGGGGCTTTTTCCTTCATGGCCCTCATATAGACTCATCAACCAATTCTTCCCTTCAGGTATGTTAATACCATTGGTGACTAGAAGTCTTTAATTTACATTATTTGATTGTATTTATAGGATCTTCTACTCCTACTTTTAACCACACATTCATTCTGACTTTTGAAGGTCACCTCAGTAGACAATGAATTTGATCTTGGCATCTGAGAGAGTAAATTTAAGTTCAGAAGCACTTGATTCTAATTCTCATCTACTAACTCCTACAAACATATGTTTGCTGTTCTCAATTTTCCTAGGGGTCAAGGTGAACATTTAAAATGGAAGTGGCCAACCAGTCTGTGGTGGCAGAGTTTGTCTTGCTGGGTCTGTCAGATCAGCCAAGACTTGAGAAAACTTTCTTTGTGCTGATCTTGTTGACATACCTGGTGATTCTCCTGGGGAATGGGGTCCTCATCATTGTGACAGTGTTTGACTCCCGCCTGCACACACCAATGTACTTCTTTCTGGGGAACCTCTCCTTCCTGGACATCTGCTACACCACCTCTTCCATACCTTTAGTCCTTGACGGTTTCCTGACCCCCAGGAAAACGATCTCTTTCTCAGGTTGTGCAGTGCAGATGTTTCTCTCCTTTGCCATGGGAGCCACAGAGTGTGTCCTTCTGGGCATGATGGCATTTGACCGCTACGTGGCCATCTGCAACCCCCTCAGGTACCCTGTGATCATGAGCAAGGCTGCCTATGTGCCCATGGCTGCTGGATCCTGGTTAGCTGGTGGAATCAACTCCTTGGTGCAGATTTCCCTTGCGGTACAACTACCTTTTTGTGGGGACAATGTCATCAACCACTTCACCTGTGAGATCCTGGCAGTTCTCAAGTTGGCCTGTGCGGACATCTCCATCAACGTGATCAGCATGGGGATAGCCAACGTAATCTTCCTGGGGGTCCCTGTCCTGTTCATCTTTGTCTCCTACATCTTCATCCTTACCACCATCCTGAGAATCCCCTCAGCTGAGGGGAGAAGAAAAGCCTTCTCTACCTGTTCTGCCCACCTAACTGTGGTCCTCATTTTCTATGGGACTATTCTTTTCATGTATGCAAAGCCCAAATCAAAAGACCCCCTGGGAGCAGACAAACAGGATGTTTCAGACAAGCTTATCTCTCTCTTTTATGGGGTGCTAACTCCCATGCTAAATCCCATCATTTACAGCCTCCGAAACAAAGATGTCAAAGTTGCTGTGAAGAACCTACTAAATCAGAAATGCTTCACCTAGTGAGAGGGGGAGAATATGGTGTATCTTGTGGTCATGGTTCAGTGCGCAAAGGAAGCCTCTGAGGAAATAACTTCTTAGTAAACACAGACTTGTATAATGCTCCACACACACTGAATTGATGATCAATGTAATCACAAACTGTACAAACAGAATGAACATCAAGGTGGTGTTTTCCTGAGTAATTGATCAGGTAATAGCCAATGTTCAGGATAGAGATGGTTATGCTAAATCGTCTTGAACTAAGCATGAGGCTACAAAAATGTGAGTTTTTTAAAACGCAGGCAAAAATGAGTAATAAAAGTGAAAATTCTATAAAATCTATTTATATCTTTTTTTTTCATGTGCAGACCAGCTGCAAATTCGTATGTTCCAATTATGTTGTTTTCTACTATACAGCAATAAGGGATAAGGCAGAGAGAGGAAAAAAAAATCCATTTCTTAGTGTCCAAACTGAAAAACTTCTTATCATTGTGGAAAATTAATGACATACCCCAAATGACACAATCTGATATTTTTTTGACTGCAGAAGCTCAGAGTATTTCTTGTTTGCTTACAGTTTGGTATCACAGTATCACCCTATTACTCCAGCCCACATACTCCCAGCATATAGATTGAATGGGTATGGAGAAATTATATAATGCTGACACACACCTTTTCTGATTTTTAAAACATGCATTGTTTTCTTGTTCCGTCAGTAAAGCAGCTTCGTGGTCAGGTTTTGTATGAGCATAACTAAGTGTTCTGGGATTCTCATTCTCCCCAATGTTATCTATAATTTGTTATGACCCACACAACCAAATGCCTTTGCAGTCAATAAAACACAAATAAACATGTTTCTGGTATTTCTACTTCCAACCAAGAGCCAAGATTTGACATCAGCAGTGAAGCCTCGTGCCACAGCCTCTTCTAAATTCTGCTTGCACTTCTGACCGTTACCTGTCAATGTACCATTCTAATAATTTTTTAATACTCTTCAGAAATATTTTACTTGCATGTGATATTAGTGATACTGTTTGATAATTTACACATTCCATTGGATCATCTTTTTTGAGAATAGGAGTAAATATAGATATCTTCCAGGGAAGTAGCCATAGAGCTATCTTCAAATATCTTGGCATAGATTAAGGAGCATATCAAGGGCTGCATCTGTTTGTTGAATGAAGCATGTCAATTGGTATCTCATCAACTCCTGGATCTCAAAATTTTTTTGGTTGGTGCTTTCAGTGCAGCTTGAACTACTTTCTTCAAAATCATTAGTTCTTGATCATATACTACTTTCTGAAATAGTTCCACGTTTACCAATTCTCTTCGGTACAGTCACTCTGTGTATTCTTTCTATCTCCTTTTGATGATTCCTGCATCATTAAGTATTTTGTCCAAAGAAATGGACAGTATTGCAACTCAAGGCTTGGATGTCTCCAGTTCTTTCAGCTTAAAAAAAAATGCTGAGCTTGTTTTCCTTTTTTATTCTCTGACTCCAGCTCTTTGCACATTCTAATACTTCGCTTTGTCTTCTCAAGCTGCCTTTTTACATATTCTGTTCTCCTCTTTTCCTTCAGCGTTTCTTTCTTTGTTTTGTACTTTCTCCATTCTAGTGCAATATTCAGAGTCTCTTCTGATATCTATTTTGGTCTTTCTCTCTTAGTAATTCCTTTTGCTTTTGTCAAGGATAATTTCCTTAATATTATCCCACAACTCACTTGATCTTCAATCATTAGTGTTCAATGTATCAAATCTATTCTTGAGACACTTTTTAAAATGCAGGTGGGATAGACTTAAAGCTGTCTTTTGGTTCTTGTGAATGTGTTTTACTATTCTTGAGCTTCAGTTTGAACTTGCACATGAGTAATTGATGATCTGTTCTACAGTCAGTCCCTGGCCTAGTTTTGACTACTGAAATTGAGCTTCTCTAGGAGTCCTGTAACTTAACTAGTCAATCTGATTTCTGTGTAGTCCATTAGATGAGGTCCATGTCTATAGTCACTGTTTATATTTTTGTTAAAAGGTATTTGCAGTGAATAAATAATTGATTGTAAAAAGTTCAATCATTTGAACTTCAGCCTCTCTTCTGTCACTAAGTCTGAATTTTCCAACTACCATTTTCTTGTTTCCAACTTTTGCATTCCAGTCAATTATTATTAATGCATCTTGATTGTGTGTTTGATCAATTTCAGACTGTAAAAGTTGTAGAAATTCTCAGTTTCATCTTTGACTTTCATGCTTGGTGCATATTTGAATAAAAGTTGTATTAACAGGTCTTCCTTTCATGTGTATGGATAGTTGGATAGTGTTCTATTGCTGCAATGTAATTCAGGATAAATTTTGAAATGGTCTTTTCAACTATGAATGAGACATCATTCTTCCTCAATTTGCCATTCCCAGCATAACAGATCACATGGTGGCTAGTACTAGTCCATCTCATCTCACTTGTACCTAGGATGTCAATCTTTTTGTATTCTATTTAATTTTTGACAACTACTAATTTTCCTAGATTTGCATTTAAGATGCTCCATGTTCAATTATTTTTTTTGTCTTTTTTTCTTTCCTTTTATTTCCTTTACAAACCCTTGTGTCGAGGGCTGACTTTCAATAGATCGCAGTGAGGTAGCTGTCATGTTCAATTATTAATAGATGCTTGTATTTATTTATCTTTTCTTCCTTCCTTCCTTCTTTCCCTCCTTCTTTCCTTCTTTCTTCCTTCCCTCCCTCCCTCCCTCCTTCCCTCCTTTTGTTTTTCTTCCTTTATATGTATCTGCCAATCTGACAGACTCTACTTCCAGAACTATATCTAACAATGTTCCTCTATTACTCATAGGGTTTTCAAAGGCCTGTTATTTCAGAAGGGGATGGCTAATTCTGCTTCTTATTCTGTCTTAGTCTGTAAGCTCTACTGAAAATTGACCCTGCTGGTATTTCAAACATCAGTGGCATAGATGCCAGCATCATTGCAACATGCAAGTCATCCCAGTACAGCAAACTGACAGACACGTGTCATACTCATAAAAGCAAATTATAAACAAGCAAGCATATACATACCTAAACCAAAATAAGCAGTATCATACAAATCACTTCCTCTATGTCCCCCAAATACAGCAAACTGACAGATAAATGCAGTAGCAATAAAAGCAAACATAGAACAAACAAAATTACAAATATAATAAAATAAACATGCATGCTATGGGAAAGTTGTGTTAAAGGTATGTACAGAGATGGGGCACCCAGCCTGGGGCAGAGTTTCTGCTGGCTTCAGAGGAATCTGGGCTAGTCATCAGCCAGGCTGAAGTTGGTATCTTTGTCAGTCCAGGGGATTGACCCCAGTGAGATGTCCCCTTTAATCTGGGGTCTGATTGCAGGTTATGAGATGCCCAGTCTACAGACTGTAGGAGGAATGCTCTGAAAGCTTTTGGCTCCAGAAACAGGATGTCAAGGGCATAGCCTGAGGCAGAGCTGCGTTTTGGCGGGGTTGTGGGTGGTGGTGAATGAGGACAGAAGGGGAAGTGGTAGGAGTATGGAGAGAAAACTGCTACTACCTGATGAGTGGGATGGGTGGGGACAGAGACAGGGGGAGATTGGACCTTTTCAGCTGTTTGGATATTGCTGCTGCTCTCCTCTTGGGTTCTTGCACCACACAGGTAGCTGTTCAAGGATGTTCACCCCACACTGTATTGTTCTATGCTCTTTCATTCTCATCTGATGTTTCTGTTCAGTTTTCCAACCTTTTCAGCTGCTGTTTATAATGCTGTTACCACTGGCACTGCCATTCTGGGTTCTCTGATTACCATGTCGTCGTCTGGCTTTGCTGTTTATGTTTTTGTTGCTCTCTTTAATAGGTTTCAATTCAGTTTCTTCCTTAGGACAGTGTTTGATGTACTTTGTATATTTTTAAGCTATAAATTGAATTTTGTTGTACATAGGGTTTTCAGAGGCCTGCTATTTCAGAAGTGGATGGCCAATCCTTCTTCCTAGTCTGTCTTAATCTGAATGTTCAGATTTAGAAAAGTATCAGACAGACCAGCATTTTACAGAAAAGCAAAAGATATATCCCTTATTGTGAGTTAACCATTTGTATCAGTGTTGTCCCTCTCCTTGGCACACATGTTTTTACCCACTTATTTCCCTGCTCCACCATCGACCAGGCAGGATACCCATCCGCTTCTTTTTTCCCCCTTTTCTTTTATTAATTTTAATGAACATTTACAGAGATTTTGTATTTCCGTTCATTCATTGTTACATTTTCTCCCTACCTTTCCCTCCCTGCCCAGTTTGCTCTTCTCTTTGAAAAGTAAAAGAAAAATTTTTTCATTGTTATACAATCCCCTCCACCCCCACCCGAGTACACTCTACTAAGCAGCCTTTGTTCTGGTCTCTTGTTATGACCATAATACCCAATCATATTTCGCTTTTAAACTGTTATCTTCCTCATCTGTTTCAATGCAGTGTACATAATTTATCCAATTTTCTCAGTCTCACCCCAACCCTGATGTCAGTCCCATTTTACAACAGTGACACTTGCAGTATTTGTCCTTTTGTGACTGAGATATTTCACTCAGCATAATGTCCTCCAGGGTCACTCATTTTGATTAATATTGCATGAGTTCCTTGTTTTTCAATGTAGGGTAGTATACCACATCTTCTCTACCCATTTGTTTGTTGATGGGCACTTAGGTTGTTTCTAACTCTTTGCTATTGTGAACAAAGTTGTGGGTGTGCATATATCTGCTTGGGTGGCAGTTATAGTCTTTTTAGGGTATATTCCCAGTAAAGGAATTGCTGGGTCAAATGGTATTTTTATTTGCAACTTTTTGAGAAAGCTCCATACAGCCTTCCATAGCGGTTACACCATTTTACACCCCCACCAACAGTAAATAAGGGTTCCAGTTTCCCTGCAACCTTGCTAACATTTGTTGTTTTCTACTCTTTAAATTTTACTATTCTTACTGGGGTGAGATGATATCTCATAGTTGTTTTGATTTCCATCTCTCTTAGAGCTAGGGATTTTG